AATAATATTCATTATGAGAACCTTCCAAATGTGTCATTTTCAATACAAACTAGTTTGGAATATCACAAAAGAATATGTTACGTATCTGTGTACTTCAATTTTGATTATCTTAATTTTAACGTATTATCGTTCAGCGTGATTATTTATAATAGCTAACAGCAACGATCGCGAGAAGGTAGAGAAAAAAAAATACATTAGTTTGGATTTCTTCATGTTGTTATAACACTTGAATAATAACATGTAAATCTTTATGATTATATGATACATATTGTACAAAAAAAACATCCCTTCGATGAGTTCACTTATATTATTTATCACTTATGCATTGTACATACATGATGTAAGTTGAGTGAGGGCATCTATATATTGTATAAAAAAAAGAAATAACATCCTTCATGCTCTAGAACAAAACAACAAATTAACAGAGTGTACACAGTGAAGTGTCAATTTAAAAAAGAATTTAGCTTTCAGAGAATTAACTATTTCGTTCTCTTTTAACATCGGACTATATACAACATTTCACGTTAACAAAAAACATTACAATATGCAGAAGCCCTTTGTAGTTTAAGCTATATTCGGTGTTCAAACCTTTGCAAATGATTTGTACATTATCACATGAATTTTCATATTAAAGATCTCATTTTACATAACGGTATGAACATGTAAGTTATGAGCAACTCCCTTTTTATCATCTCCACGCAATTGTAAGCTATATACACCTCTTACTAGTGTAGTTGTGCAGTTTAATTTAATAGCAACACATTTCTATCAAATAAGTGAGAGTTTAAGAAAATTATTTGCATCTTTACTCTTCATGTCCCATTTCTCCAAAATTTATCTCTTCACCCTTGAATTATTTTTGCAGTCTATCAGAACGTTTATGGCACTGATTCTATTATTTTTAATTCGTTACTTATATTTTATCGTATTAATTCCGCGAAGAAATGGTCTAAAGATTCTGAAGTTAAAAAAATTTGTTCATTACTCGGTCTGTACTGGTTTAATAGTTATTATAATTCCTAATCACAATCATGTGATAATTTAAATCAATATTTAAATATTTTTTCGAAAAATTAGTAAACATATTAATATAGAAACCCAATCATTTTTTAAATCAAAGGTTAAATTTTAGATTCCTGTATTCCTATGTTATAATAATCGTATTCATGAATCTTTCGAGCTGAAGAATATCTCAAAGCAGTGGAATAAATTTTATCATATATAAATGCTTACAATGCATAATAATCGAAAAATTGTATAAATATATAGTAACTCTTTTCTTTATGTTTTATAAATTACTCTGTAAAGATATCATTAGAATATTCTTTGATCTTGTGTATAGCTTATACGATACTACATACAATTGGGCAAAATAAATTAATCGTGAGGAAAAGTACACGTGAAATGTTTTTTATCATAAAGTAATTATTTGCGAATGATTGTGCCATACCAATGACGTATACCATCAGCATACATACCGCAGTTTAACTGTATAGTATGTACGCGTATATATATTTCTTTTTAATTAACATCTATAATATAAAATTTCTTAATATTTTATAGATTTTACAGCTTTAACATGACGTTGCAATAAAAAGAGGAATTGCACTTAAATTCTTATTTCTTCGTTTACGTTTCGGTTACTGATTAACCGAATTACGTCTTCTTTTTGTTTCGCATAGACTAACTTAAGTTATACGGTAACTATCATCCCTTATATATATCGCGCGTTCATATATATCTAAACCTTGAACTTTTTTTTATATACAAACACGCTGTTGAATTCATGCACTTGATCACTGCATGGATCGTCGGCGTTCCGTTCGACTAACCGCCGCGAGTGCTTCTTCGGGAAGGCGAGTTGGATTGGTTAAAATATCAGTGGCAGTACATAGAGACCTTAGAGAATTCAGAACAGCTGAAAATGATATTTTGGTCAAGATAATCGTACAAACATTTATTGCATTATGTTGCATGCGTTTCTTAATGTATTATTTAAATTATGTATTATTAATGTATTATTTAAATTTTCATTCTTATAACATATTATTGTCGCATAGGAGATGACATACAAAAAAAAATTTAGAAAAATTGCAGTGCCTAGAAAGATCTTAAAAATAATAATCTCGAATGATTTTTTTTCTTACTTCTTGTGCCATACACACTTTGTATAATTGAAAGCAATGGAAATATTTAAATGTACGTTTTTGGATATCTCCCTTGTATACGAACCTGGTCTGAGATCAACAAGTGAACAATGTTGCTCTACCCACAATAATGTACTTTTATATAAATCATCGAGACTCGCAGTTGAGACTGAAGCATTAAAGGACAGCAACAGCGGTTCTAACAATATACTGAACTGATTATTACATTAAGGAAAATTATCTTTTAGAATCTTGTACATTTTAGAGTGAATCAACGCCTTCAAACATAATGCATCAAAAAAAGAAAAAAAGGATACAATCCAGAATTTCCAGTTTTGTTGCGTACGCGCACGTACATATTCGTCAAACATCTCTTTCATTTTGCTGGTTCTATGTCTAGAAACTGGAGCACCCGTTGCAGGAAGCAGAGATTGACAAGTACTACAAGAATAACATCATGAAGCATTAAAGACTACCCTATTTGTTTAGATACCTAATTATAACCTATATTTATATAGATATAAATTTAATATATTCGTTCGTGACTTACCAACTAAATATTATTTCTAATAATTATTATTTACAACATCTCTCTAATTTATTGGAAGTATGACTTGAATGTACCTAATAGACGTATTAAGGCACTCGATTTGTTGTTTCAGGCTAGCCATCTCCTCCTTTAATTGATGTCTCTCCGCTTTAAGTTGCCGAATATAATCCGCCCCTTTCTGTAACATCGCGGCTTTGCTCAGTTTCGCATTGGAATTCTGACTGAGGTGCGGTATCAGACTGTGCAGCATGTCGAAACCATTCTTGATGTTATATCTACGCTTCTGTTCCGCATGAATGTGGCCGACTCGCCTCTGTTCTTTATACTGTCCCCTTTCCGAATCCTTCATATATCCACGAGTAGGTGATAAAGGACTACCTATGCTCATGGGGCTGTGTAGAGGGCTAAGGCTTAAAGCCTGGGGACTGTGTGCGTTAGAGCTGCTATCCTTTGGTGAACCTATTGGACTATTGTGGGACTGATGCGTTTGATTGTTCGCATTTAAGAGAATCTGTTGAGCTGTGGATGGTTGCATTGTCTGCAAGATATCAGTATAAATAATTGATTCCGAGCAATTTAAGAATACATATATTACAAATAAATAGATTGATTTCTATACAATACCTGTTGCTGTGGTTGCGGCTGCTGTATACTAGAAGTCTGCATTGTTTGTACATTCACTGGGGTCGTGATGTGTTGTGTTGTTGTTACTTGCGTTATTTCTACCGTGAAAATAATATTACATACGAATCAGTCAACGTTTATCAAATATTTGTCTTATTAATATACAATTTAATGAAATTTAATTAATATCGTAAAGATATGTTGCATAAAATATAATTATGTTCAATGGATTTGATAAGACTTTTATATTTTTCGTACAAGAACGGATAAGATTATGATGGAATACATACTATTTGTAAGTAAATGTGCAAGCAAAGCGTGGCTATTCAAATTCAGGGCTGGATCGCTCACTGCAGATACCAGAGGTGGTGGATGTATCCTAGGCGCCGTTAAAGAAGAACTGCTTCGGGATCTATTTCTCCCTTTCATTTGATGATACTAAAAAAATATAATGCAATTTTATTAATAATTGAAAATGTTTCGACCGATACACTTAAACATTATTTTAAAAACTGAATTCAATATATTTTCTTTAGACTGTCGATCCGTAGATTGTCAGTCCATTCTGTATATCAACGCGAGTGAGATACCAACCTTTGGTATGGCAAAAATCTCTTCTTTTTCCGCGTTGGATGTTGTCGGTTGAGGTAACAGCTTGGTGTGCAAAGTGGACGCGGGAAGGTCCAAACTGGATGATGGCCTACACTGCAACAATATCTGTGATTGTGATGGTTGCTCCGTCGAAGAAACCGATACCACTTGTTGCGTGTGATGCGTCTGAAAAATAACAACACGCATTAACTCAACATACTCGTGACGTTCGACAAGCGTTACCGTAGTTTAGTTACCTTGAAACTATTGGTGCTAAATTTACACTGTTGAGCATTGAGGTTTTGTACGAGGTTTGAAAACTTATAGCACTGCTGCTGTGGCTGAACGATCTTGTAAGGTTTGCTGGACATCGGTGAGGTGGTTGGCAAGGGTCTTATTGCTTGATGCTGGGTTTGTAGTTGCGAATTAACGGCTTGTGTCGCAAAATTATGCTGTACCGCCACCAGATTTTGCACGGTAGCGGCAGTGATCGCGGGTATTTGACTTGCGTTAACTGCCGACTGATCGTTCAGTGTCGCAATCTGTACGGATTGCGGCTGATTTTGCACCGGTGTTAACCGCAGCGCCTGAATCTCCATTGCGTAAGACTGCGGCTGCTGCGATTGAAAGCCCGAATTCTGTTGCTGCGTGGCTGCTTGATACATATTCTGCTGCTGCTGTTGATGATGATGCTGCTGCTGCTGCTGCTGCTGTTGTTGTTGTTGTTGGGATTGCTGTATCACGCGACTATTCCTCGACAACGTCGGTCTGCTACTCCTAGTCTTTTCTCGTATGGGTTGGTTCGTCGTAACAGACGCCTCGAAGTTTGGCTGAAGAGCGTAATCTTCACTCATAGCTCTAAATGGAAAATAATAATATATCCGGGAATTATAATCGGACCTCGGACTTTGCTCTTTATCCGCTTATACAAAGGCGTAATCATTTAGTAATACTCACATGTTATTTCTATACACATTCGCTGCTTCAGGTTGAGGCTGAGTATATATTTTGGCGGTGTACTGGAGATTCTGCATGCTAACCTCTTGCTCTTCCCGAGACAGTTGTTGCTGTTGCTGTTGCGAGGTCTGTTCGTTCTTTATCGTCGGATCCTCGCCTATTTCGTTTATCTGATTAATCGGTGTCATCAGGTCCAAATCAGAATAATTAGTGTTTAGGTTGCTATTCCGGAACATATCGTCTTCTTCGGGTACGGGAGGCAATTTCGAGTTTAGGAATTCTAGGAATCAAAATATGCAATATGTGAGAAACGATATATCGTGCGAGAAATGATATAAAGTAGATGAACATTATGGTATACCTTGCAATGGCTCAAGGGTGTCCATGAAATCATCCAGGTTTGGTTGCAAGGGGCCTAGACTGGGTTGAATAAAGTCAGCTAAGCTGGCACCTCGCGCTGTCGAACCATATTTCGTGCATTATAATATTTGTAATATTTCTATAAAAAGTATGGTTTTGCTTCTACGATCGTCAAATATTATAACCCAGGTAGGAAGCAAATGACAGAATTTTGACGTCAAAATGACATGTGCTTCCTACCTGGGAATTATGTATAATTTTTCCAAACTCAAGAATACGAGCAAAAAGAATTACCGATTTCTCTAGGATCAGGAAAATATATTGGTTGATTCGAGGTGATGGTTGAAAAGAGCGTATCGGTCATCAGTTCCATGTAGTCTTCGTCAACCATCATACTCTCCCCACCTGGAGCACCGCTCGAAGCTCCGAATGCATTCCCCATACCCATACCGAAGTTACCGGTAATCCCACATCCACTGCCCCAATCGAGCATGTCCATTGATTCCATCTAAAAGAAAGTGAATGTATTGAAAAGTATATCTTGCATCATGTCCATGTTTTATATCTTTTTATGTGATAGAAAACAAAGAAATCTATCTCTATTCAAGCAAGTATGACGATAAAAAGACAACGGAATCGAAATTTATTAATTATTTGTTATCAACCATCATTTTCTACCTTTCAAAGTATCGGAGACATTTTTTTCAAATATCATACTACAGTACATGCTTTCGCAAGGGCACGTACCATTTCTGTGTCCTTGTTCGTCCAGCCAAGAATTTTGTTTCGGTAGAACATACGCCATTTCTTGTATTCCGCTGTGACGGCCGCGAGCTTTCGTTTCCAGTATTTTCCCTCTAAGACCACCGCCTGATAAGAGATACGCCGTTGATTCACGCTCACTAAGCGCAATTTTTATTAGCGGACGTAAAAACATTTTACGACTTTTACGAGCTTACGCGGATCTTCTTACTACTTCAAGCATGCGATGCTGTATATGCGCGTGTGTGCAATCTGCTAGTGACACTTCGAGGAATTATAAACCGCTACGAATTATCTAATCAAACGAGACGTCGCCAATTTGCGATAAAGATAATTTCCATTGCCCAATTGCGTAATTGGGCAAAATCAAATAGCGCAATAACGAGCCATTGCTACTTAATAATCATTAATATCAACATCCGGCGTCGGATTTATTGGTGATATCAAGATCGTATGGTTATTGAAGAAAATTATAACGTTCAATTCCCTAATCCTTTGCGACTGTTCTAAATACGAATAATACGGAAAATATCTCCGTAAAATTGTACGTTTTATATAAAACCAATATATGCGCAAGTATATTGTCGCGAAATTTTAAATTAAATGTTGGAGACCATACCTCGGGTTTGTTATGAGTATCCACGTCAAGTGGCGATGCAAACTGGCACACCAGAGTGTTTTGCTTCAATATAACTAAAAAAGAAAAAATTATTCTCCGTTGAAAATAAATTTTACGAAATGATAAATTGATCGAAAATCGTAATAATGCCAAACCAATTGCATTCAATAAATAAATATATAAATATATTTTCTCTGATATGTGCTTAGATTTTGTAAAATTTGCAGATATTTTGATTTAAATAAATGTAATAAAAAACCAATTTCATGTCAAAAGATATATTGAGGTGATTGCATTTATCGCAGATGAAGCAATTACCTCAAATATAATTCGAAGGTCCACGTTTCCGCAAATTGGTAATCATTAGATGATAAACCGAGCGTATTTACTATAATTGGCGTACTTAACTTTATATTTACGCTACGATTATCAACATACTGTACGATAAGTAAAAGTTAAAAAAAAGCGTCGCCTTATATAATCAAGTATAAATATACTTATTAAAAATTATATATATAGCTGCAGCCAATTAAAATGTAACTAATTGTAAAAAACGTCCCAAAATACAATTCAATTATATTTACTTCTAAGATTATTTTTTTAACACATATCATTATTTTCTTCCTCAATGTTATACATAATTTTTTTATCTCGACATCTCGTTTTGGCACGGTTTTTCGTGCTTGGATGAACAAATTGGGCTAATACAGTTCGACAATTGTGTATAGATATATATACAGGTAAAATACGAGCCTCCTCGGCTCGCAATGATAAGTTGGACTTGCGCCAGGTGAGTATTGATGCGAATGTAGCACACGGAGATGGAACTCTTTAAATAGACGGGTAATTACTTATCTGGTCATTCGACGAATAGCAAGACAGTTGGTAGCTGTCTGAACTCGATAAACAGCACTCTGCGTATATCACGGTAATTGAAGTATCAATGAAAGCGGATTGAAACTGAAGTATTTCGACCAAAAAAAAGGGACGATAGTTTTGAGTCCGAAATTCGTGCAGAATCTGCTATAAATATAAAAGATTTAATGAAATAAATTTATAATTTTTAATGTCGATTCTCTCTACATGAAAAGCTGCATTTAAAATAAACTTTACGAATTACGTAGATTTTTCATTCTTGCATTGGATACTTCAATGGAAAAGTACAATATTTAACGAGAAACGTAGAAACAGTTTCGGGAACGCACTAATACGATCGTTTCATACGTTTCATTTAGTATCGAGTGTTTTGATCAATAACACGATAAAAATAGATTAAGATCGAGTTTGCGAACATGACGATATGATGAAGATAACGAAGCAAACCTGAAGCTTATCAATCAATTGTATTACTCTGCGTTTTTTCTTCATAAAACAAAGATAGATTTACAGAATGATAAATTACATTTATATCAGAAGATATTCTAGAGTTCCTGTGTTTATTTTTAAAACATATCGGCTGACAAAAAGTGCTAACAAGTGTTTTTTTTTTCGCTTACACTGCATGTGCCAGCATCTCCAAATCACGTTGTTCAGTCTGATTTTGTCCTTCCATCTCAGTCTGATGCCTTTGAAGCGATTCCACTTAGGCGATGTCAGCTTCTGTCTGGAACAAATCCAAATGCCCATACGTCATACCCACTGTGATAATTAAATTCGAATCTTGTATAATCAACATGGAGGATAAAAAATTTCTATGTCTACATATATCATGTGAGGTTTATCACTATTTATCTTTTTGCTATGATATAAAATATAAACGAACCATGCAAAAATCATACATTATTTCAGAAGATTATTTCACTTTTATATGTAAAATGTTGTTAAAAAATTTGGACAAACTTCATTTTAGATAACTCTTTTTTAAATTTGGAGTTTAGGATTTTCTTCTTATAATAATGAACATTTGATTAAATATTATATACCTTTTTTCAACATTTTAATTTTCCATATCAAATATTTTGATACAACTAAATAATTCAAACTCCATCAAAATGAAGATTATTCGAAATTGAATGCATTATACTTTATTCAATAGTATTCTGTACTTGAACTGTGTATGAGATGGAATATAATCTATGTGCAAGAAAACATTTTTCTATTATTTGTAGCAAAAAGAGAACAAAATGCGAGTCAATGAACTAATAACGAAATTAGTGTATCAATAGCTTGTATCGGGGCTACTTCTTGGAATATATTTCAGTCGGCGAAACACATGTTAATTTAAACTGCTGTCTTCAAAACATTTCAATTAGGCAGATGCATCGCAGTAATTTTAAATAAACGCGACCAATAATTTTGACTCGTCAGTAGACGAGTGTCTGCGATTTCGACTTATCGGCAGGGCTCTCTATCTCTATGGAAAACACCGTGCGCTTTGTGCGAGCTTTCCAAGACGCAGTTAGAGTGATTAGTGAATTTCCACGCTAGAGTTCAACAAACGGCATGCTTACATACGCATTTCTTCCTGGCATTTGTGACTTAACATAAATTAAAGGCACATTTAAAGGTCTTCTTTAACGCTAATGCTCAATTACTCAACCACATTTTTGTCATGTAAGTATTATTATTGCTGTTGCAACTTTCTCTTTTCTAACAAAATATCTAGTTTCTTTGTGAAATTATTCTACAAATTCGATCGTTTATGTCTGTAATTTTTAATATTAATTAATACACAGTATGTTGTACATAAGAAAATTAATGTATGATACGAAATTGAATACTGTAACATGGAAACAATTATAATACGAGTATTATAATATAAAACAAATATAAATATATATATTTAAATGTCTTTTCCATCGATAAGTTAATTTTTCACGGTGAGAATATCTGAAATATATTAATAAATTCGTCATTGAGTTTTACATTACAGGAAGAAACATTTATCTTGGCTTTTTGAAACACGCAATCATAAAATCCTACGGCGAGCTTTTCGTTATCGTCTTGTTCGTCGATATATCGCTGACGAGAAAGAGAAAGAGAGAGATAGAGAAAAGAGTCAAGAGAGAGAGAGAAAATAATCTGTAGTCGGAAGATTTCCACTTGCTCGTATCTTTGCGACGAACGTATAGCGAGGGTTCTTCTCCTTGGCATTAGACCCTGGCCGGCCGGTTCTTTTCGTGTTATTGCCATTTCAATTTTTATATAATTTTCGAAGAGATTAGATAAGGCCACAGCGCTCGAAAGACATGGCGGAGAAAAGAAATACTTAACTGTAATCCAATATCGTTTCTGTCCGAAATTCTTACGAGACGACTCGTATAAGAATTCCGTTAAAATGGAGGACTGATAAGTAAAAAATAATCAGAAGAATTATCGCGCGCGCGGAAGTATATGCCAGATTAATTAATCCCGTGAAATTAATTAAAGTAAAATAAATGCGATGTATAAAACAACTTGTAGATATGTACCAGTAAAGTAAAATTAATTTTTTATTATTTATAATTGAAGCAAATACTATAGAGATTTATTTGCATATATCTTAGCGGCCGTGATAATAAATCAATGAAATAAAATACATAATTTCACGCAAATTATGCTGCACGAGTGAAAGCGGATTAATTAATTTCTCTACACATTACGTTATTAAATGTGTAGTAAAATTACTCCATAGTTAAATGCTAATTTTATGTTAGTGATATAAGCATATATAATAAATATTGTGAAACTTTTTGCTGATTTTATTATTAATTATTCTTACGGATAATTTGGCTGTCATTATGATGTCGTTACAAACGTAACGATGTCGTAGCAAAGTTGCAATATCGCATTATATTGATCTCAAGAATAAGCACAGTTCAAGGCGGGAGTTGATTTCTTGTGTGAGCAACATTAATTTGAAAATTCCAGGAATTCTTTACACAGAAAGAAAAAGAGAAAAAGAGGAAGAAAAGTTATCAGAATCAACACTGTGATTAAGCGGACTAAAACATATATTGCTGATATAACAATCTTTGTTAAAGTTTTGCTACTATCGCTAAATTACATGGCTATCGCTGCAAAAAATGTTATTATGTTATTATGTTATCCATATTTTACGACTAGATTTGCTATAGTAGATAATCCTCTTTTCCGTGTTTGCTATTTATTCATTACGACGAATACACATGTTGCAGAAATTATATTAATAACAAATTCCTATTTTTAAAAGCTTAGAATTATGCTCTTTTATTATTTTTTTCATGATTAAGATTTGTGTTAATTGTATTAATAAAATTTTTTTTATTCTCTAATAAACTGTTTGTCTGAAAACACGCGAGTCACCGTCTTTATTTGCAAATTTCTCATTTTCGCAACATTAATGATACCCAGTGTGCTACAGAATCTCATTATCAGATAATGCGTTATTTGTTCGCTGCACGATACGCCGTTCGGTGGAGATCAACCATCGCGTAGCAGAATTTTCGATTATTATCGTATTGTCGAGAAACTCAATGGTGTGGCAAAACAGATATCGCATTTAGGAAGATTTCCGAAAAAAAACCATGGACGATAAATAAACTGCTACGCACGAACTGAACAAAAGAAATATGAGCCACTAGCTTCGATAAGCGCCACGAATCCCTCGATACCGTTTTTATTTTAAGCTTTTCGCGGTTTTAATTATCTGAGTTATAAGAAGAGAGCAAAGATCGCGCCATGAAAACTAAATTCGTCTGGCTTTAATTTCTCGTTAAGTGCGTCTCGAAGATAATAAATTAATTTCACGGTGAAAATTTCCTGGATTTTAAGTTCCTGGATCTAAAATTTTTTCAATAATAATAACTCTTCTCTCTCGGAAAAAATTAAAAATTTTTATTAAGATTTATTAAGAAAAAGAAGAAAAAAAACAACATTCTAAGAATTTAACGATCCAAAAATAGTCTCTTAAATCTTTGTCGAGGTTAGTGTTGAGATGAAAAATGTCCTTGTTCAAGAACGATGACATGTGGATAGATTATCGCGCAATAGCTCAAATAGCAATGGAAGAGATAAATATCGTCTGTATATAATATTATCGATCACTGTAAAAATATACAGGGGGTATATATACGCCATACGGCTAGGAAACAGAAATAGACTGGGTAGGTGGGTTACCGATTGGATAGGTGGGCGAGCCTCCGGTGGGCCAGCTTTCGACTCGCGGATCCTCGGTCTCTCGCACGCCTTGCTTGTTGCCCGTCGTGCGGAAGTGTTACGTTGCTGGCGCGTACACGCGCTACGCGCTACGAGCGTGTACTCACGATGACGCAGTGGCCTTGGTCGATAAAAGACTCTCGGAGGAGAGGAGGCTTTTACGGTAATCTAGGCGCGATTCGTATTTTCGCGTCCGAGACGACGACGGACGACAACGACACAACAATCGAGATTAAGCGTGATCCGGGCAAGTCCGACGTTTCCGTTTTCGGAGGATCTTACGTCGAGACGTTTAGCAAAAGCTTACACACGGCTGTTGGCTGAAAGGCAAGAATCTTTGTTATATGGATTCGCGCTACTGCGTCTCGATCACCCTCCGAAAAGCTTGTAAATCGTAGATTGTCTCTGACCCAGAAACCGTCAATGTATCGATTTTCAAGCAACTGTCATCATTTTTAATTATACGCGTTATTCGCTAACCGCGACCGCGGAGATGCAGCGGACGTGAGATACGCTGACGTAAGGCGTAAAACGATAGCGTGCAAAGAAAGCAAACTTTCTCATGATATATGCGGATAGTGCTTGTGCAAGGAAAAATCTACGATTCGCTCGCTGTGGATATATCATAAGAATTACGTGAGCGACTGTAAACCCGATTTTTTATTCCACAAAAGAAAAAAAAACCTAAAAAAAAAAGTAAAATAAATCAATGCAAGATAAATCGTATTACATCAGAAGTTACTCGAAGCATCCAATGTCAAATGCTGTTACCAACTTTATTTTTTCTTTTACAATTAATATTTTATCAGAATGTGGACTTGCTCAAGTTGTTGACAAAGACACAGAGATTATTCGATAAAATATATCCTTCGCCGTCAACGACGCTCAATCGTTCTGTCGAAGAATGCAGAGGAAACTGAAGAGAAGATCAGTTTCACCTTTTGCAATTCGGTGTAAGTTTTTGTCGAGCATGGATGTTCTTATTCTACGTCATTGCCGCGAATAATCTTACGATTGATTTAACGATAGCTGCATTTAACGTGCATTATGCAACGTAAGACGCTGGGAACGGACGTTAATGCGTGCATTGTCGATCTCATAAAAGTCGGATTAACGACGTAAACACGGAAATTCCATCTATTCATATTTTCTTTAAAGTGCAGCGTGATATCGCGATAGAGAACGCAATCGGAAGTTTGCCGATTAATTCTGCATTGTCGACTGACGTGTATCGCTGATGATTTGCGCAATTATTTGCTCTGACCACATATTCAGGATAGAAAGGAATAAATAAGTAAAAGTAAGAATAAATAGATATAACGTCAATGGCTAGACAAGTTCCTCGTAAAAAAAAAAGATTCAAAGAGCAAATTTCTATTTTTTACGTCATCAAAGATTTAAATAATAACTTTTGCAAGGGGTTTAACATTTTTAACATTTATAATTTTATATGTATATATATATATATATATATATATATATATATATTCTTTTTCTAATACTTTAATTTTTCGATATATTAATTTCAATATAAATTTAATTTCAACGCACGGCTCCGCTCATAGAGTGTTCACAAAGTTTTACAGTAAAAATGTTTCGTTGCAAATTTAATAAATATGTCAGTGAATGGTTTTCCATGATACCTATAATAGATTTAATATAACTCGAGTTTTATATCTCCTAAAAATAAATAAACACAAATCTGCGAATAAGTGATAGAATGCTGCATCACGATTATTCCGTTTCTATTGGTGATTTGAGATCGCTGACGTAAAGCGTTGATTATTGTACCGCTGACAAGAATATTTTTCATAATAATCAATTAAGCTGCGAGGGTTTATGTCATAATTACGCAAGAAATATGCACCAGCAGAAATATACACAGGCAGAGTTTTGTTATTGCAATAAAAATTTATTTTTTAGCTATACCGATATAAACTTATCGTAATCCATTACAATTCCCCATACATTCGCCTAACGCGATAGGCATGCAGTGAAATTCGATCGATATCAAGATCTTCGAGCGATAATTGCGATTAGAAAAATATTAAAATTTACGTACCGATTTAAGTTTGCGCAGCAAGACGTTTGCGAAAAGATATTACTCGAAAACCAATTGATAGCACTGTAGGCCGATGTCATTGTATCGGAAGGAGAAAAATGCTCGAAGCACTCGCAGGCTGTTCTAAATCACTTTCCTAACTTCGTCTACTAACTTTATCGTGAATTTTGTATCGAAACAATAACGCCATCACGAGAAGAATTCCAACAGATACGTTTCAATCGGTAGCTATTACTGTGCAAACTGATCCTTAATCGTTTCATTTATTCTTTTTTCCGCAATAAAACGCCCAGTCTAACGAGTCATGATTAGATCAACATCTAGTTATTCAAATCTATGCGCGTGAGAGTCGATGCTGCACTAGGAAACTACTCATATCTGAATCTAAAACTATTTTTATAATATACATATAGGAGAGTTATCTTTTTTCCGTTCGTTTGAGTCGATCGTTTAATTCTCAAAACAGTCTTGATTGAAAAAAAAAGTAAAATAGACTTATTCACACGTTAAAAGATAATTAATGAAATTTACAAATCCAATTTTCAGCTTACAAATTTTAGTAAACAATGTAGCATTCGAGTATCCAAAGGTAACTTTATAAACATTTTTGTTACAAGATAGTTTATTTTTTTTTATTCATTTTGCCTCCTATTTGCTGGAAGTAGTGCGTATAAAGAGAACGCTTTTTTATTGGTTCAACTTGCAACATTGTTTTTACGATTTACATGGCGCCACATTATCGTTTTATTTTTATTTATCCTGAATTACGTTTGCATTGCGATGTTTATTAAGAGGAAGAGAACAAAACCTTATCGTCGATAACGGGACGATCGAAACGTGGCACGTCTTCCAGGGTCGCCAAAGATATAATTAATTTGGCTTCTTGTTTGTCAAAGCATTAAGAACAGAAGCCGATACTATGTAGCGCGTTATCGGCGCTAGATTTACCGCAGAATTGATTGAAATTACGTTGTATCAAGCGGTGCCGATACATTGACCGAATTGTATTATTGATGTTACCTTCAAATTATGATGTTTGCTCTCTTGACAATTCCGACTCGTTGCCTTATATAACGTTAAATCGTATTAGTGTATTAGATATCAAATAATAAATATAATAAAATAAAATATAATATAATAAAATAGTTTTATATCGTAAGAAAATGCAGACATTATTATTTTAAATCACAAGTTATACTTCAAAAATAATACTCGTAATTACTCTATTATCTTTGGAAAAAAATATACTATGAGAATGTACATATAGCTAATGAAAGAAAGATAAGACAGTCTTTTACTTTTTATACAGTGTTAAAGTTCATTTTTCACCATTTGCTAGTTAACAAATCATACTTAATAAATATCACATTGAAAAAATTATAAAAATCACTTGTCACGGTTTCAATTGCGAATTAATTAACTCAATCAAAATTTTTCAAAAAGCCACAAATGTAGCTAAGTGCCGTTAAAACTGCACGTGCGAATACATAATAGCTTTTGCTGCAGGCGTGCCGCAATGAATCAGCTGTAACGTCACCGAATATGTCGGCACATAAGGAACACGCTTGTATGACAGATTTACACATTATTTGTCTGCATTTTGCATTAAATTTTTCAGCTTTATCATAAAATCACTTTCTTTACAATGTTAATTATTTCCTATTCTTTTAGTATAATGTTTCTGTATAATGTTTTGTAAAACGATTTTATTTTTCGCGAGATTTCCATACAATTTTAATAGATTTCTGTGAATTCTTATCGGCGTCCTAATTTTTGATTTAATTAAATCGGCATTCTTGTGAATATTATAATACTTTTATATTGTCCTGTTTCATATCAACATGATATATGCATAGAATTCTACAGAAAAATAGTATTCGCAAAAGTATTTCGCAAAAGAAAATTGTATATAAAATATTATATGAAAAACAGACCAAGAATTATTATATAAATCTATGCGAAATGAAAGGGAGAAGCAAAAAGATCTATTTCTACCAAGTTTTGTAAATCAAAATATTAATGGTTTTTCTTCGTTTTCCCTTAATTTGATCTTTGATTTGAAATAAGATGTCAGTGGGATTGTAATGTAAATATAAACTTGGGTTAACTTTAACTCAAGTGTGTTTAGGGCAAGAGGAAACAATCGCGGCGTGTGTCGTCGCAGGGAAAACGGAAATTGTCGGTAGAAGCCGTGTGTGTTCGTCGACGTTCGCGACTTTAGCGAGGCCGCGCTTAATTGCGGTGTTGTCGTTTGGTTCTACGGCCTCTCTTTCATTAATTCAATTGTCCTTTATCAGCGGGAATGCTACCGACCAGCCTAGACCGGGCAGCATTTGTCCGGTTGCCGAGCAAGATGTGCCTTTTTGTTTTTTCCGAACAAGAATACTTCTCTTCCTTCGGTACTTCCGCAATTGTATCGCGGATGTAAGACCTGTTTTAGCCTTTCTTAGCGTTATGGCATGTATTCCGGAAGGAGAAAGATAAAACACAAATGAAGTGTTGAAAGTGAAATTAAAACAAACAGATCTATCTTTGGCATGTATGTTTTATCGCAATTAAACTCGCGATTTAATTGAATTATCGAGTCGAACATGTTTCCGAGGAGAGCATCATTTTCTGTATTCTTTTATCTCGTATAACTGAATTCGTGGCTAAGAAAGTTTCAGTCATTATGTCTCTCGTTTAAAAAGGAATGAAAGAGATGCAATCATCAGTTCAATTCTAATTATTTCATTGCATTATTTGAAGTTTGTAATATTGCATTTAATAATATTGTAAAATTTGTGTACTAAATTTTTGTTACATTGATATTAATAAAGTGATAGAAAAGAATAAAAACGAATAACTTCTTAAAGCCTAATTTATGTGTATTTACCTTTAACTTAGGTATATTTAATTTGATGTTAATCATTAATATTGACATCACTCATATAAAATTAAGAAAAAAAATGTTTTAATAGTTTTCTCAAAATAAAAATTTTAAAGTTTTAACAAAAAAAACTTTATATAGACATTAAATAATTAAATATATATTATATTATTTTGAAATTTTCTTTCTCGAAGAAATAAATATAAAAAATCAAGGGTTAAATTCTCACACAGCTTGTAAAGCTTGTAAAGCTCGATCCCGATTTAAAAAAGAAATTTAAGATAGTTTAGAGGCAAACCGCGCGATTGTGGATCGAGTAAAACGGCCCATCACTGTACCGTTTTACTAGACGGTCATAAAAAAATCGCCAGAGAAAAGGAGGAACTCACCTGTAGGCGAGGGACATGCACTGGAAGAGTTTGTTCAAGGACGTCTCGATGCTCAGCTGCTGGGAGGTGCTCTTGTCGTTAAAAGAACTCGCGAATCTGTCGTGGAAGAAACCTGGCGGGACGGTGATCGAGAATCTGGCGGTCTGCTCTTCCTGGTCCGGCACCGGCACGGCGAGATCGTCCTCGTCATCCTGCGCCTCGGCCTCGAAGTCCGACACCATGAAGTGGCCCGAGTGTATCGTCTCCCGCGAATCTCGTCCGCCGTTTTTCTCCCGCTCATTATCGTTGCCGGCGCGATGAAAGCCGCCCTGGCTCGTCATCGCCGATGGTTTTCGGTATATCAATTCCGCCTGCATCATTCCGATCACCTGCGGACACGAATAGATCCCTTCGATACGCGAATCTCACCTCACGAATCTTACGTCCTCGATCGAGAATAAATGGAAAGCCGAGCGCGCGAAGGCGTTTGACCGCTTGATGCGATTGCGAGATATAATATTGACAATGTACAGTTCGATAAAATTAAATTTTGCACTAAACAATTTGAGCCACATTTTATATTCAATTTATGCAACAAATTATACGTTAGAATAACCGACGATAATAAGAATATCAATTAAAAATCGATAACATAAAATATTAATTAAAAACCTATGATATTAATAGAATTTTTTGCCGATTTTTTCCTGCACAACTGAAAGAGAGAGAGAGAGGGAGAGAAATAAAGAAATGTGCAATTGATGCACATTTGCAATAAGACAAAATTAAGCAGCTTTGATTCATTGGTTAATTGGAGTAATTAAAATTTTTTATCGCTCACCAATATTGTAAATGAATATGACGACAGATTAAAAAATCTAAATGGAAAAATTTTGCTTTATCTATTTTGCGGCCTAAAATAAGATTGCCAAAGTGGTATGTAGTAGGATTAGGCGACCTCGTTTCAAGAAATTGCGCGTAGCAAAGTCTGGGTGATAGAAGGAAAGACTTGACAGACACAACAAGTCCCAGTTATCGCCTGTAATAAATCCAGCTCAACGCACCCCCTTTTTCTAAGTATACATATTCGAATATCAAGAGAGAGAGAGTGTGTGTGTGTGTGTATGTATTGTGCGTGTACCGAAGTATAAGCTATAAAAAATCAATACTTAAACACGTTATCTGTATCAATATTATAAAATCGATAACACGTGCCTAGATATTTTCGTAGACGAGTCGATGTGTAACGCCATATCGTAATATTACCTAATAATAACGCAACGAGATTGTTAGACAGCACACGAATACGTGGATTAAGGCCGGTTTTCACACGCAATGATTAGTGGCGCCAACTGATTGGCATTCATTGGCGCCAGAACCGACTAGCAAACTCACAAGTATTTACACAGTGATTGGCGTATACTATGGAAAATATTTAACATTTATTAAATACACAGTAAATGACAGCAAGCATATAACCTCCAAATTTAAGGTTATATGCTTTGGCCAACAACCGCCAGTAAACGCCACATTACTAGCGCCAGTTTGTATCAAGTGTTTACACTTGCATTTTTACTGGCGTTAGTCGACTGGCGCGGCCTGGCGCCACCAATTGCGTGTGAAAACCGGCCTTTAGATACGAGTAAAGCACAATACACCTGCGATCGTATGATGGAATAAAAATCTCGCGAAGGAGAAAAAAAATTTCTATCTTTGTAATTAAATTAATATCGATTTTAATATCACTTCGTCTAAGTCTAAGGGACATGAGACTCCGACTGGCGCCAGGCTTCCTGTCGATACGCGATTAACAAGTTTATTTCGCGATAGCACGTGGCGGCGAGCGATCGGAACTCGGAACCTCCTGTCGGTTGAATAATCATATCGTCGAAAACGCACAGCCGATACCGTTTTTTACGGTTCGAACGTCGATTTCTATGAACAATCGTGAACACGTGACGTTCTCGATGGTCAGTGACTTCTCAGAGCTATATATAAAATTAAACGCGACCGAGACAATTCATCGTGACGATGGCGACGTGTCCCACGTAATGACGAACGTGATGATCAAACGTTGATCTAAGCCGGTGGTGCGCAACGAATTTTCGTGTGTGACAATTCTCTCTTATTTCATTTCGATTTACTTCATTTCTCGAACGGCGCGATTGTAGAATAGTTGTGAAAGAAAAAAAAAGTAATTTTCTTTATAAAATAAGATGGAACTTCTGTCTCCGACGACATTTCACGAGTAACTCTGTCGTGCAGCCTGTTTGTTTTAACTCTCTGACGCAATATATTTCAGGTGAACCAAATTTCGAGCCCGCGTTGATGATTTGTGATTACCGAATGTATCTAAACGCAAATCGAGCAAATACGACTAAGGGATTAAGATTGTTTGTAATATGACCACGTGTTAACCGAATGGATTGATGGGAAAACATGTCCTATTTATAGTTTATGTGGAATTTGTAGAATTTCATATTTACTTTAGCTCGAAAACAATTTCTACATTCATGTCTGAAAATACGCGCTTTAGTTAATTCATAATACATATGAGATTGAACCGTGTTTCTCATTAAGTTATCCGACTGGATCACTCATGGACGTAAAATATGAAAAGAGTCAATAAATTAAGATGTACTGATATAGGACTCAGGTCTTTATTTCGTTCTCATTCAATCGACTATTAGTAAAATACTCACTATTAACGTACTAATAACGATATTATTATAGCTCGTTTTCAATTGTACCGTTGTTATTGACACGGTATTATTAATCGTATACGAATGCCACTCCTAATCGCTCGCGAGATTCTGAAGAGTCCTAGATTTCTTCCCTCTAACGCAATTCTAATTTATCACTTTATCACGGCATATAGATAGCGCGCTATGAATAGAAGGAATCAGGAGAGACTCAAGAGACTGTGTATAACTTTGAGGGCCCAAACTGGCGCTCCACGTGGTGACGAAACAAGAAAATTTCGATAGGGAAGCGATTCGGCTCCATTAAGGCGACCTGTTAACACCGATTGCAAGTCACACGGAGTATTTATCCGAGATCACCCGTTATAACCGGTTTCCCGCGGGTTCTTCCCGTTCGTTATTAGTTATTATCCGGCCATTGAATTCCGGACGGCGGCGCTTCAAGAGATGTAACAAGAAGTGACGTCTATCTTTGGCTAAGGTTCAGATACGATCGTAGGACTTGATTGTTTATACAATTGTCGATTATCGTAAGTTCATACGCGCCAGGTATAGATTGCGTTTCTTTTTCTCTCCTTCGGCAATCTTACGCAAGTACTTGCGACAGCCTCACGCGTCATTTTCCGGCGAGCGGATTCAGCGGTATGGCATTAGATGTCGAGAAATGTGAAGGTGTTCTGTCTCAACGTTGCGAATCGTGTGCACAACATGATACGTGGAAAACGATAATTTATGCACGTAGCACGTTACGTGGTCCCTTCATATATCCGCGTTTCGTATCGCCAAGGTAATTTCGTTAACTGCGAAATATCCGCTTTTCGCTAAAAGTGCGCCTGCAACGTCGTCTGTCGAAAATATCTCATTGCTTGACCTATACGGCGAGACTCTCTTAAAAAATTAAATTTTCCACATAAAAACTAAATATCACGTTGAACGTTAACAGCATTATAAAAACGAAGAAAGCTGTATAGCGCGAAAGAAAGAAACGTGGATTTTAAAGTTTTGATTTTTAATATATTAAACATGTTAATCAGTTAATATGTAATTAATTGATATATTGCAATTAATTCTGACAATTTATATAAAATATTATTTCTCAGATTTCTCGAGACAAGCCAGTTTTTCAACACTATTCCGTAACACGCCGGTACCTCTCACTATCTATAAAGTATTAATGCCCTTTGACCCTCTCGAGCTCGCTCTATCGCAGGGCGAAGTCAAATGCCTTATCCGTTCGCTCATTAATGTTCGTCGTACGAGCGCGCGCACCGCTTAGATTTCGGATCGTATACAGATAAAAGCGAGCAATTACAGTCAATATGGTGTAAGGCAGGCATCTCGTATTATTTCCAAGAGCATACTAAATGAAGTGTGTGAGTGAGTTAGTTAATTAAATCTACATGAAACACAAAATTCATAGACGACGTACTTCTGGCATTTTTCCGTCTGATCCAGCGGGAAAAATTGACGCTATTATTTCTGATTTACGTTAGAGATTTCAGACAGACGGAAAATCTCGTTGATCGAGATCCAATTTTGTGATTTTGCACCAATCTGGCAATCTCTATAAATCTAATCTTTCTAATAAAAAAAATGGAATCATTTGCTACCAGTTATACTATATTATGCAATTATTATGTTACATTAATTTATCTGATTGATACACGGAGATGTTTATAACAGAGAAGAATATAAGTTGGGTCAAGATTAATTCTCAGCTTACATTATTCTATAAAATAATGTTATTTTTAATTCATTTTCGTGATTTATTTCCAGCATCAATCAAAATTTTCATTATATTTAAAACCGATTAGATTTATTCGAGACCTGCCATGCCAGTTGGGCAAAAAATTCTAAATTTTGCTTTGAAACCCTCGACACCACTTCAGTTTCTTAAATGAAGCGATGTAAAAGAAAAACCCCCATGAAGACACGGTATCTCGCACAGTTTTTACAGTAGTTACTTACTTTGTTTTGATTCGCCAGAAACGCGAAACACGGTCGCTCTAGGCGTGTTTGCCACATACATATTTACAAACAGGAGTAACTCTCCTCACTAGCAAACACAAGTTCAGGAATTTCTATATACCTTCCATTGAGCTCTAAGGATTGTCGGGGCGAAACACAGCGGTCGGGCACGCGTGTTTACGACGCGTTGCCTCATCAACCTCATTTCGCGTCGGAATAGGGACCACGTATATGGGGAAAACGGAGAATTCGGGGCACGGTGCCTGTGAACACTGGCGGCCCTTAAGAGAATTCCTGCCTTACATTCCTTTAATGTTTTCGAGATGCTATGCGATTATTTCGCCGGCTGGATAAGATAACCTTAAGACCAGATTTGAAATCTTGAATACTAGAACGACGATTAACGTATACTATTTAAATATGTATTAAACATATGTATAGCTTTGAAAAAAGAAATAAAAAAGAAAATAAATAAATTAATCAAGTTAGCTCTCGTTCGCTAGCCCTGTCTCCACAATTCGCCTAATCAAGTTAATTACATATATATATATCTTGCAACGAAAATCATGTATTAAATATATGTAAAAACATATGTATAGCTTTGAAAAAAGAAATAAAAAAGAAAAAATAAATAAATTAATCAAGTTAGCTCTCGTTCGCTAGCCCTGTCTCCTCAATTCGCCTAATCAAGTTAATTACATATATATATCTTGCAACGAAAATCATGTAAAACTTCAGAAAATGCATAACCGCGTTGTAGATTAATAAAACATTACTTAGACTGTCGGTGGTTCTAGTGTCAAACGTAAGATCGGATATATACCGCCCTGAGATAAAACTATCTCGGCGCAAAATGGAACGTCTGCCCGCTTCAACATCGCAAAAGCTCCGGAGGAAGAGGAGCGAGGGGGAGAGGAAAACAAAGGGTACAGCGTGTAGCTAAACAAACGGATGACGACGACGGTACGCACGAAGCGACGGCGACGGTGTACGTACACAAACGGCTTCCCTCTCGCTCCGTAATTTTTCATATATTACCGTCGCCCTCCCCGCCCGTCTGTTTAGATACTACGACTCCTTTCTCTCTCTCTCTCCCTCTCTTTCTCCACGGGGCGAGCTGTTCGACAATCGGCTCAGGCGCATCGCGGCTCTCCTTATCGCGTCACTCCGCTCCCGCGTCACGATTTTTATCGCGAGCCCCTGGCTTCGCGTTTCATGGAAATCGCCCGCACGTTTCTCTATCCTCGCTATACCTCGCTGCTGCTGCTGTATTCGTTCTCTCTATCTCTCTCTCTCTTTCTCTCCGCCCACGGATCAAATAGCGCAGTTAAGCCTCCGCAGTTAAGCCCGCGAGTCGTTATCACTCCCGTTTCGCGTCGGCGAGCTGTCCCCCTCGACGATCTAGAAAACGACGCATCTGCACGGACGTCGCGCACCAGATGTTGCTCCAATCCGCGGGAACAATTTGCGTTGCGGCCGCGACGACCGCGACGTATGTGCGCGCGCGGGAGCGCGGGCGCACTTTACGATGAATCGCGCGCGCACACACACGCACACGCACACGCACGAGACGAGCGACGAGCCTCCGTCGCACTCACCTTCTGGACCTATCTCACAACTCTTCGTCACCGTTCCCCGTCTCTTTCTCTCTCTCTCTCTCCGCCGTCGATGTGGCCGCCGACGCGCGGCCCGTAGGGAGCAAGCTCCGAAAATTACTTCTGCCCCGCGATCCCGTCGGGCGACGAAGGGGGGCGAGAAAAAAAAACACTTGGTCGAGCACCGCGATCCCGACGCTTGGTCTCGCGCTCGCGTCTTCGCGACTCGCGGGCTCGTCAGGCTGGGCCGCGAGGCGCCGCGCCCGGACGCGGCCCGTACGCGCTATTGCACGGCACACGCTCGCTCATGACGGCACGGCGACGCCATTTGCGCACTACACGAGTTATCGGTATTGCCCACAATCGCCCGCGCTACGCGCTACACGACTGGCGTGACTGGACGGCCGCGGGCCGACCACGCGCGCCACTACGCACAGCTGACGGAGGAATGCGGCCGCGAGCCGCGCGCGCCGACCAATAGCGGCGCGCGCCGCGTTTCCCCCACCCTTTCCCGGCCAACGGCGGTTGCCGCGGCAAGATCGCTTGCCGCCGACGCGGTTTTTTTAAATACGCGCGGTATGCGGAGCAGAATGCGAAACAAAGGTTCGAACGGAGCTGCGCGATTGTTCAGGCAGTAGAAACAGGTGAGTGAAGCTCGAAAAGTTTGAATAGTTTAAACGAAACATTTCCATGAGCCATTAGAATTGTTGTATGATGAAAAATGCGCGTGAAATGATATAGATATTTATAATTGAACGTTAATTAATGTTTGTAATTAATCAGTATGTCTAATGTCTAATCTTTTTTTTATATTCTAATGCTATTGTATATTTATATTAACAAATATTGAAAGAGTACGTTTAATAGTTTTATATCTTGCGTATGAAGGGAAGATTCTTTAAATCGGTCTAACGTATGGTTATTGTTATTGTTAGTTTATTATAAATATAAGTTTGCATTCTTCAATCAAAGAATTCGTTCAACACAACCTTGCGGGAATAATTGTCAAAGTTTTTTATGTTAAAATATGTCTGAAAAAACAACGAAAAAATAACGTTTTCTATACCTAAATTTAACTATTTTAGCATCATATAAAGTATGTAAAAATGCAATTCTAATGATAGTACACGTATATTTGACTTGAATAAAATTAAATAACCATTAAATTTTTTCTTTAAAGAAAAGTAAAACATTAAAATTTTTTTGAAATTTAAAATTGCACGGACAAAACTTTTAATAAAATCTTGAAGTTCTTGTTACAGTTGAAAAGAACGTAATACAGAATTATGTTATACTATAAATGTATAAATATTGGATTTTTTTACATAAAATAAAATATTGTTAAAAGAATACGTATATTTATCTGCATTTAAGATACACCGGAATATGAGTAGTTGTTTTTAAAGAAATAATATAATTTCTTATATTAGTTAATTATTTTTTACGAATTACTCGTCCATTACAACAGTTACGAAATTTAATTTCACTATATGAATTGACGAGTTGTACGAATGAATGATTTTAGAAAGAATATTCTGTAATCTTATAAAACGACTAATTAAAATGTAAAATATAAATTTTTCTGGAAAGGTTTCTTACTGTTAATTATTAACAAATACCTTAATCGACAATGCAGCTTATTCATTTTTACATTTCGAAATTGTGTCGATACGATTATTTTAGTATCTCTGTCATTATTTTTTTAGTAACAATTAATAAAAGAGCTAATATTTCTATAACAATATAAACGGGTTAACAAATGCATTTCTTAGATTAATAACGCAGTAAAGATCGTACAATTATTATATCTATCGTGTAGTTTCGTTATATTGAGAACTTATTCTCAAAATTCGATGTCCCAGCCGGAAAATTCGTCTGGTGGAATATCGCGGTCAGGCGGATATCTTTCGAAGTTCCGTGTGTCGAGTTGATGTCGTACCTGAAAATGCGAAAATAAAATAGATTTTAATATAAATGTAAAATTTTTGTGTAAAAGATAAATAATTGAAATTGCGCATTGTATAAATGTAAGAAAAGTGTAAGTTTTGTAAAAGTTTGGTGGATTAAGTTTAAATTTTACGATAGATATATACCGTTGGTACAATGGGAGCCGGTAGAGCCAATCTCTGAAGCGCTTGCCAGTTAAATCCGGAAAACCATCTATTAAAAGAACAAAGATAAATTATTATATTTCATATACCTATCGCGAAGCAGTTTTTAAAATTTTACAAAAGTTTTCTAACGACTTACTTGTGATCGCGAATGTCCTGTATCCCGTTTCGTTGATAACCCAGTCGTTCCGAGGCGTTCAAACGAAGTAGCTTTTTGATGATATTATTAGCGTTTTTGTTGACGATGCTCGGTATACCAACCATCTCGATACCCTTCAGGATTTTGTTGTAAGTCGTCATATGATCGGCTCCTCGGAAAGGCGGCTTACCGACGAGAAGCTCGTGCGTTAGGATACCGAGAGCCCAATAATCCACCGCTCTAGCCAAATGGAGAAACAAACGTGGAAGAAATACATAAAAAACCAAGTAATATAACAAGTAGATAATAAATGTTGGAACAAGCTTAAATTTCTCACCTGTCGTGTCCTTTGTTCAAGATAATTTCTGGTGCGACATACTCGGGCGTGCCGGCAAAAGTCCACGTTTTAGCTGGGCCAATTTTCTTACTAAAACCAAAGTCCACCTATAGAAGGAAAATAATTTGTCTCCTGTAGGATTTCTCTCTCATTCTGATAAGAGTGACTAAATAATTAAGCATATACTTCGAAGAAATTTTAATAATTTCATAATTAGACGTTAAGTATTTAATAATCGAGTGTCTCACCAGCTTCAAGTAGCCACGCGTGTCGAGCATAAGATTTTCCGGTTTGAGATCCCGATAAACGATGTTTAATGAATGAAGATGATCGAGGGCTTCCACCACGCAGCCGACCATAAATTGCGCGGTGGCGTCGTCGAAATAACGCCTCCTTTGAAGGGTCGTCCAAACGTCACCGCCGAGACATACTTCCATGAGAAAATAGACGTATTTATTATCCTTGTATGTTTGATAAAGTCTGAAAAAATGAGAAATTTTATTAAGTTCGATCTAATTAATATTAAGACTATATGGATACTAAAAATCCTCTCATTACTAGATTAGAATTTATTTGGCAATTATTTCTTCTGAGAAGTAACTTAACATATTTTTATTACAAATTTTACGATGCTAATTACTTTTACAGTTTAACAACAGGCACAACATTTCACAAATGAATTAAAATATTGTATTTATTTTATATTGATTCGAAACATTGTCTTACATCCAGCAAGAATAGTTTAATATTATAATATGTTATTGTAAATTAATTTTGATATGCATTACGATACTAAAAATCTCAATAACAGCTTACTTGCATATGAAAGGAGAATCGCACGCTTGCATAATGTGTTTCTCGTTCAGCACGTGTTCTTGCTGTTGCTGCTCGACCATGACCTTCTTCTTGAGTTTCTTCAGAGCGAAGCTCTTATTTGGATCGGACCTGAGTGTGACCAGTTCAACACGACCGAATCCACCAACTCCTAACGTTCCCCTCGTCTCAAGGTCCATCAAGGTTAAATTCGCGTACTCGTTAGTCCACTTCTTCGGAGTCAACGAACGCTTTTGCTTCTCGTATTCCGCCAACCAGTCCTTGTTACGAATCTCATCCAGACTGCCCAGATAGTTCAGGAAGGACCTGGCAATTTCGAATTATGTAATATTGCGTTTTATATTTATTATTAATTATTTAACACGTGAAAAGAACAGCCTCAAGTGAAATAAAAAGATAATTTTTGTAGCAATAGTAAATGTAATAATAATCTATGTTGAAGAGCAAGTGTTTTAAATTTACCTTGAAATAAAGTAAAACAATAAAATAAAGTATAAAATGTTATCGTTTTAAATAAATAACAGATATCCTGGATTAAATTATTTACTTATCGATATTCCATAGAAATTAAAGTAGCTTTCGCGACTTATGTTCTCGAGCTCGTTTAAGTTTCGATGATAAATATGTTGATCTCAGAGATTTATTAATTACGAGATAACACCTGTATGTACTCGAACTCACGTTCTATCCAGTGTCAAGCATTCGACACCAGGTGCAAGCGCGATCGCGTTGGCACGTCGTTCTCCACCGTCATCATAGAGAGCCAATTCGCCGAAATAATCTCCCTTTCCGAGGACCACTAGTTCCTCCTCGCCTCCGTACTCGGTGTCTTTGGTGATCCGCACGTTGCCGCCGCTGATTATATAAAATTTCTCACCCTTCTCGCCCTGCCGCAGTATTTTCGCTCCAGCCGGGAAAAATTCCTGCAAGCATTATTATAAACGTTCTTTTAAGCTATATTATAAACTAAGCGACGAGTAGAATGGTATCCTTTAAAATATCTTTCTTACTTACTACTCGTATGAGGTCGGATATCTTCGCGAGCACGTGGTCCTTAGGTTCTGGAAGTTTTTGGAGAACGGAAACGCGTTGGAGGAAGCGGATGTTGCCCTCCAGTTGTTCCTGAGCCGTTCTCATCATTATGGTTAGAAATACTGATCTGTCGAGCACCCATACTTTTCCAGCTTTCTTTACTGAAATGACACGAAATTGGACAAATATTAGCTCAAAATTGATTCTTAGTTCTTAAGAAGATTTCTAATCTTCTACATTTTCATAATATGTATCATAATCTGTTTAGTAATATTGTAAATTACTGATTTGTGTTTATATATCTTGTTTTACAAAAATTTAAAAATATTCTTTAATTTTTAGACTTTAATTATTTTTCACGTTTACCGCTAATAGATCGAAGTCTTTTCGTATTGTACAACAGAGCGATCTCTCCGAATGCGACTCCTGGTCCGAAACTTCTTTGGAATTTGTTCCCTTCGTAAATGTCGAAATCTCCTTCCGCCGACACGTACAAGTGCGAACCTACAAACAAATAATATTCGTATAAAAATTTATATTACATTAATGTTTATCATAATTATTCTGTAGACTATTGTATATGTTAATAATATATTTTTAATATCTTATATGTATAATAATACGTAAAAAATTATATGTAGGCGCGTACCTATATCGCCCTCTCGGATGACCAGTGTATTAGCTGGGATTTGTTTGGGATACATGGCGGAGACGAGTGCTTCCACTTGATTTTCTTCAAGATTACCCAGAAATTCGTTCTCCAAAATGGCCCTTTTAATTTGCCTCGCACTCCTACAAGTAAAAGAACGATAGTATTACGTTCTACTTTTCCGAAAGATTTGAAATAAAGTGAAACCTATGCCGATTAGAAAACAATTACGTAACATACAACTAAAAAATTATAATCTTTAATTTAATAATATTAAGGGCCGGTTGTTTCAACTTGTTGGTCAGCTAACTAATAGTTAAATC